AGCAAATATAAATACAGAACTCCCAGTTAAATTTCCATTTCAAATAAGCAAATACATTTTTAGTACATTTCATGCGATATCAGGTATACACTTTCACTAAAAATGTTTTGTTGATCTGAAATTAAAATGTAGTTGAGCGTCCTATATTTTATGTGACAATTCTACAACAGGTTGGGTTCTTTGGGAAACAAACTCTGAGACAGGGTTGGCCAGCAGGGTGTCATTTAGGAGGGCCCTTACGACCAACACCTGTGGAAGGCAGGTAATGGAAGCAGAAAGGATGGGGCAGGGAGAGTCAGTCTGCAAGGTAGGGCCAATGACAGATGACTGAACCATGGGGAATTCTGGCCCTAGAGTGGCCCTTTAGAGTAGTTCCAAGGTGGGTTGAGATGTCCAGGGCTTTACACTCACACACTGATCAGTCATTAGATGAGGGGAAATGTCCTAGGGCAAAGTGGGTCTCTGCAGCTCTGGCCATTCCTACAGGGGCTGACAGCTGAAGGCTTTATGCTGACAGCACTCCCAGCACCAAAAGCAAAACGTCTTTTCTGAAGCAGAATTCAAGTAGTGAGTGCATTGCTGTGTCCACTACGTTTGTAGAAAGAATTTAAACATCAAGTAGAGAGAACAAATGGTATTTAGGGACTTTTCCACTTGGGCATCTATGATTAAGTGAAATAATGTGTGCAAATTGCCTAGACGAGACAATGTCATAGAGATGCTGAGCGCCACGTGGTGCCACTTTGGTGTTTGTAAAACCTTGGACCAGAAAGGGTCGTCCAGTGGTGGTGGTAGTTTTGGGAGTAGCAAGTGGTACTGGACTTGGGCACCTGTGTCTGCTTCTGAGAAAGTGAGGAGTGGCATTACTGAGTGATGGGACTTCTCTGCTTGACTGGGCTGGATTTGGTATATTCCTCTAGATACAGCTTTTTAAAAAGGAGTGCCTTTAAAAACATGTTCAAGGTTAATTATTTTTACTTTCTAATTATGAGAACCAAATCCTTCCTTTGGAAGTGGCCAAGTAAGGTGGAAAACATAATCGTAAAGTCAAGAAACAACATTTGCTCTTAAGTCTGGCACTTAAGCTCTTACATGGGGTGAGTTAGTCACCTTCTCTGGTCACACTTTCTGGACTTTAAAATAAGAGGGTTGGATCAGGTGTTCTGTAAAGGTGCCCTCCTGTGTTGGTCTTCTGTAATCCTATGATTGTGGATGCTGCCCCTTGGCAAGCAAGTCTGGGACATTGACGAGGCCAAATTGCTAGACACAGGAATCAGATTTTAGAAGTAGTTTAACCACTTATTTAAAACTTAGTTAAGGTTGATCACAGCAGATTGCTTGGAGGGAACAGTAGTGAGACTGAAAGATTAATTCCATCCTTATTTAAAATCTTTACAGTGAATGACTGTAAGATTAGATATCTTAGATTAAAATCATATGCAAGGTCTGAATGGTCCACTTAAAGGGGCAAGACTACCATTTTCTTCTTGGACTTTTCTTTTTTGCTTTGTAATATTTCAATTACAAAAGTTATCGGCAGTACATGCTTGGGCTGTCCAGTAATAGAGACACTCTAGGGAAGGTTATGAAAAAATCTCTACAGGTAAAGGCAGCAAGTTCTTGAACTGTTGTTTCATTATTGGGGGCAGTTTTATCATAAATTCATTGTATCACTAAGATACTCTTTCTTGGTGGTGTGACAGTGTTACCTACCTGATCTACTGGGTGCTTGGTCTCAGCGCATGGGAGCTACTGACACTGTGTCCCTGACCATTTCTGCAGCCCCAGATAAGGCCATAAGAACAATAGGGTCACTCTGGCTTCCTGTAGGGAAGAACTATAAAAATAATATTATAATTTGTCAAGAATCATACAATTTTCAGAACATTTCACGTAGAAAAATCAAAGGAGGGAAGTCATACTAGTACCCACATTTTACAGATGAAACAGAGGCTCCGAGAGTTTAAGAGACTTGCCCAAATTCACACAAATCCAGTTTTTAAAATTTGTTTTCTATTTTTAGCCTCAGATACTATGTTCTCTGTTGTGTTGCCCATGCTGACAAATAAGCGAATCTACATTGCATTTATGTCTATCTATAACCCAGTTCTAGTTACTAGATTTCCACTTTTCATGTTTTCTTATAGCGAAAACACAGTCCATATCAACGATTTTTCAGTACCGTATTCAAAAGGACCTAGCAAATTCTGAGAGTTTCCACAGAGAAGCAACCAATATCATTTTACCACAATATTGTTTTGGGTTGTTATTTTTTCTTTAAATGTTACAGATAAATGAACCAGAGGGAAAAATAACAATACACTTATTTCAACATGTGATTGTGCTCAGCAATGATTATTTTATTTGACTTATTAGATGAAAGTTAAATAAATTACAACCAAAAAGGCATTCATCATTATTCATATGTTGTTCAGAATCTGTGCAGACTGGAAATTACGGATCTTAATGACATGATACACAAGGTCTCAGCAGCTGACTGAAAACTAAAAAGCCCTACCACACACTTCTCCTTCAGCTGGTTTGACATCAGATAGTCATTGCCAAAATATACTCTGTGCCGTTGGAAAATGACACCTGGCTCTTCAAGAATTGTCCTGTCTCATTTGACTTTTCACTTTGTGACTTTGAAGGTGCCTAAGATCAGAACTCTTCATTTTTAAAACTTTCACCCCAGAATGTTTTCTGTCACAGCACCTGTGCCTAATGATACATTGAGACCAGAACCACCTGCTTGGCTTCAGTAGGACCCTTTATCAGCTGAAAGAAAACGCTTTGAAATACAGTCTGGCCTAGCTTTGAGGTGGGTGGGGGATGGTTTTATTTACTTTCCAGTGGGAAGCTATCTACTTTAGATTAAAGGAGAATTAGAGAATTATCTAGTTTGATTCTGACATCAGAAGTACAGATATTTGGAAAGTGCTTTAAAGCAATTTTGGTTATAAGTAAGAAGGTAAACTACATTATCTTGACTTGGAAACATTAAGTTGTGCATTCTATTTTGCCAGCAAGGCCAAAACTTTTTTTAAAAACCAAGTACTGTTTGCAGGAAAGAATAAATAATATCTTAATTCTTTTCATCTTATAAAGACAAACTGTCAACCAGATTATAAAATTACCCACTACGATTAAACATTGGTCACACTCAGTTGTCCTCACATGACTCCACCATAGCAAAAAAAAAAAAAAAAAAAAAAAAAATCGTGGTATGAGCTTCACTAATGATGAGCATATGATTCCTTCCTCACAATGAAGGAGCCAGAGCCAAGACAGCTCGGATATCAAGACGGGGGCTTCTAAAACATTTTTCTAAAAAGAATATGTGCTAATTCAACAACTGATCTCTTTTGGTTGCTACCACGTATACAATTAACGTTGTATATATTACTATTACTAATACTATTACTATGAAATTATATTCATATCCAGGTCTCCTGTGTTCAGAAATAGTAACATATATATTTAAAGACTTTAAAAGAACGCTAGCATTCATTAGACATATTGATTTCAAACATGAAACTCTGTTACAAAACATGGTTCTGAAAAGAGTATTGTTTAAAAGCTGTGATGATATGACAGCCAATCTAATGAAAAAGTGGGGGGAAGTTTCCAATACCCATCATCTTGAGAACATAGCAACAAATAAGTCACTAATAGCTGTCTGGGGATGGTTTTGGGGGAAGCTTTAAACATTTAATCTGTATATCACCTAAGTTTTAAAATGCTTCTATTAATATTGTATAAAACCAGGACTCAGGGCCACTGAGAATGGATTTGGGCCTAGAGAAAGTTTCAGAACATACACAAATTGGGGCAAATTGCTAAAGAAATCTTTATGTACGATTTTCCCTAGTTCCCCTTCCTGGCTGCAGGGCCCTAGTAACTTTTTCCAGCTCCTTCTCTACTCTCAGTGGCCCTGCCAGGACCTCAATCTTGGGCTGAAGGATGTTTAAAGAAGTGAGTTGGCAGAAAATATGCATATTTTAGGGCATTCAGGAGCAAGTTAAGCTGGATTCTCTCCTGGCATTAAAGGGGAAGAGATCATATCCTTTAAAACTGTGTAGGAAAAGGGCAGTGCCCTAACAGCTTTTGTGGAGGGTCACTTCGTTTTATGCTGTTATCACCCTTCCCCTCTACCAAAAACACAGCCCACATCAAATGCCACTTCTTAGTTTAGAACAAAGCTACAAAACAAAACAGGCTCTGATAAATAAGCCCTTCCCAGAACCAGGCTCACTTTCTATTCTCGATCAGGGGTCAGCAAACTTTTTCTGTAAAGGATCAGATAATAGTTTTAGTCATCGTGGAGCCATACAGTGTCTGTTGGAATGGCTGGGCTGCTATTGTAGAGCAAAAGTAGTCATAGACTATCATACATAAACAAATGAGTGCGGCTCTGCACCAACAAAACGGCATTTACAAAAGCAAATGGATGCCGGGCGCGGTGGCTCACACCTGTAATCCTAGCACTCTGGGAGGCCAAGGCTGGTGGATCCCTTAAGCTCAGGAGTTCGAGACCAGCCTGAGCAAGAGTGAGACCCCGGCTCTACTAAAAATAGAAAAGTCAGCTGGGCATGGTGGCACATGTCTATAGTCCCAGCTACTCAGGAGGCTGAGGCGGAGGCTCGCTTAAGCCCAGGAGTTTGAGGTTGCAGTGAGCTACAGTGATGCCACTGCACTCTAGCCAGGGTGACAGAGTGAGACTCTGTCTAAAAAAAAAGCAAATAGACTGGCTCTGGCCCTCAGGCCATGGTTTATCCATCCCTGTTCTAGATAACAACCACAAATGGTGCCTCTCTTCTGAACACAGCAAAGTGCTTCGCATGTTCCAGCCAGAGGAATGCCCACTTACATAGAATTTAGAACGTGGGTAGTGGACCCACAGCTGTGGTAGAAGAAGCCAGAGTGACCTGAGGATTCAGTGTTTATGATCCACAGTTAGAAATCGATGTGATCAGAAATTGATAGGAACCTGTTTCATTAAAAACCTGAGCATGTAGCTGTTCCTGGCTTTTGCTAATCTCAGAGCTGCAATCAGGAGCTGAGGATGATGGCCATTCTGGTGTGACGTGTGCAGATGCAAAGAAAAGCAATAAATTATGGGTAATGTGGTATCTTAGAGTCCTGAAAGGGTCAACGTATCTTTCCAAGACATCAAATATAAGTCAGCACTAAGGAATTCACTACTCAAACAAAACTTATCAACTCAAAGGTAAATTTGTTCAGCATGTGGCTGAAAAACCAAACAACAGAACCAAACAGATAATGGCAATAGAATTTCCTACAGGTAGAGGAAATCTTACCAATCATCTCAGCTCACTATTTCATATTACCAATGGGGAAACCAGGGCCCAAGGAGAAAGAGGTAACTTGCCCAGCTGGTTTGTGGAGGAATCACCAACTATCAGCCATGTCAACTTCCAGTCAATTGCTGTTTCTCTAAGCAGTCGGATTTTAAAGGGGCTTCACTGGCCATATAAACACTTATATCAGGAGATTATGTTCTACGTACCTGGCTACCCTTAAAGACAAGTTTTCTGTTGGAATGGGGATGGCCCCAGAAAACATCTGAAATTTACTGAGGGGAACAAAATGCAACACATCACTGATTTAATGTTGACAAAAACTGCACAGGATAAAGCATTAAATGGCCATCTTCCCATGAATATAAATGCTGATCTCTCATGTTGTATGATAACATGGCAAGAACAGACTGGGAAGTTCTTAAATCAAAGTTTGCATTGATCTGTTTCCCTCCTAACAAATCAAAGGCAAACGTTATCCTCATATCTTTGGTGTCTGTGACATAGAGGATTCCTCGGGCAATGAAGGCGTTGCCGGCCTTGGATTTGGGGTACGTGGTATTGATGTGTTGCACCACAGAGAATGTCCTTTCATCCAGTTGTGCTACAAGAATGCTCGAGCCATCCACACTTGAAGCATAGATAATCCAAAGGCCCTTTTCATCTACAGCTAGATTAAAGTAAGTCTTGGAATTTGCAAAAAGGTATTTTCGGTCAAAATACAAGGCGTTTTCAAGCTTCAGAGTTTGGGATGTTTCTTTGCCAAATTCAAATCTGAAATGTGTAAAAAAAAAAGTAGACATGAGTCACCATTTTTGTAGATCAAGGCGGTTTGTCAGGCTCCTCTTAAACTGAGTTAGTACGTCTGGGGCGAGGCCTGGGATTCTGCATTTCTGACAAGCCCCCAGGTAAGGCCTGTTGTGATGGTTCTTCAACAATGCTGTGAGCAGCAAGGATGTAAAGGACAAGGACTAGCTTGTGCCAGCAGAAGAAACAGAGAGGCAGTGGCGTGGTTTAAAGAGAATGCTCTCCCAGTCAGAATGAATTCCTGTCTAAGTGACCACTTACTAGCCATGTGACCCCGAGAAATTACTTTATCTCACTAATGCTTGGATGATTGGTGACCTCCTGAAATGCCCTCTCAAAGATACTTAGAGCTGCAAGGGGCTGTAAAAAGTCCAATCCTTTCCTTTTAAAATGCAAAAAAACCAAAAAGAAGTGACTAGCCCATAAACCCATGAATACAAGTAGGTAGCAGAGCCAGAATTTAAACTTAGATTTTCTAACTCCAAGTTTGGGGGTTATTCCTTTACTCCATGCTGGAATTTTAAGAAAAAATTTTATAGCCTTCTAAATTAAGAAGAAAGTCACCAGTTGAAAAGAGCTGTAGCAAAGTCAAGGCTGCAAAGGGCGTATTCTTGACAGGTAAGTAGCTGGAAAAATGAAACTACAGCATGAAATCCCACGCCCCTTAGCTTCTGAAGCCTGTCTGATTTGGCAGACTCCAAGTCTAAATCATCTGTCAAAAATGTGAATTATGATTCAAAAGGTACCTAACTCCAAGAATGAAAATTCTGGGACATTAAGCTAAAAGAAAAGAAAAACACCAGAGGGTGCCGTTGAGCAGCGGAAGAAACATGAAGTGTGTGATTCTGCGGATATGCTTTGGAGCATGATAAACTTGAAGTTGATGCAGAAACCTTGGAGTAAGTTTGAAAAGAAACTGCAGGAGAGTGAAGGCTTGGGAAGGCCCCTGCCCATCTCAGCCCGCAGGAGTTCTCCTTCCTCTGAATACCTGAAATTTAGCACTGCCATTCGGCCCTGTCTGGCCCCGGCACCCAGCAGCTACATTCCTTGGCGAGGCTTGTCCCTCCAGCAAGAACAGGGTGTAACTCAGGGCCGCCTCCTTCAGCTCCCAGCCCGTGACCTGGCATAGAGCCGGGCTCAGCACAGGTCTCCTAACCAGTGCGTTGCAAACTTAGCTTCCTTAGAAGACACACTTCCTCAAACAGGCCAATCCTCATTCTTGGGGCTTATTCACCCCAGAACTCCTCTCCTTCCCCCACCTCCATGTGACAATAGCCCCATGTCACATGGCAGCAGAGAGTCACCAACTAAATGAGAAGCGTCACAGGAAGAAGTGTGTCAGGGAGTGAGGACCCTGAGCGGGGAAGGGCATCAGCTGTCCTTTCCTACCAGCATAAGACTCTGCCCAAATGGGGTGGCCAGGGCAGCGAAGGGATGACGGGGGGTCAGGCAGTGGGGAGTGAGGGGCAAGGGAGGGGAAGCCACCTGCCATGGCCGACACCTGTGTCTAATGAGGCTGATCTAATTGCATGTTATACTAGGAAAACGGTCTCCATCCTAACCTGAGCACACAGCTGCTGAAAAGGTTGTTAAAGCTGGACTTCACTAAGGGCAGGAGGAGGATGAGGAAGAAAGAGAGAAGGGACCCAGCCTCCCTCAAGGTCATCGTTTCTTGTTTTGAATAACCAGGACCATGGTGTTCATAATACTGGGATTATTGGTTCATGTAGGGGTAGGGCTGGAAGGACTCTAGTCGAGGACATGGAGACCACAGGAGGTGTTGTCTCTCGTCCAAGGCCATAGAGTAGGCAGAAGAGTTGGGGCCGGAAACTCGGTGTCCTGGCTTTCAGTTCATTATTCTCTTGATTTGCCCGAGATAACCTGCTTCTGCTGCTGGAGCCCAGAGCTTGATTTCTTATTGAATGATAAAGACAAAATTTGAGCAATTCTCCTGAGGAGGCGGGAAGGCTCGGCTGCTGTCCTGGGCTCAGTCTACCCAGGTGACACCTTCCTTGCTCTTGGGAAAGCAGAGGGAGGCCCCGGGAGGCCTGGATCAGGATGACAGGCCAATCTGAAGGCAGCGACACCTGCCTTTGGGCTGCAGTCCTAGTCTTCAATGATCCCGGTTGTGACATGAAATTCCTCACACGCAAAGTTTTTCAGAACAAAACTATTATCAGGGAGCGACACCTTCAGTCAGAGGGAGCTCTGGGTCCCATCTGCTCCCTTCCTCAAAGGACGAGGAAGCTGCTGCCCTTACCACTGTGAGCCTGCTTCTGCCTGGCTCTGACCCTCTCCCTGGCATCCAGACCAGCAGTAAATGCAGACCCCAGGGACTGCTGGGACATGGGGCTCACTCACCGTATCCTGTGGTTCATTCGGTCAACAAACCTGATTGACCTCTGACTGGGTGCCAGCCCTAGGGACGTAAGGGTGGTGAAAACACAGTCCCTGCCCCTAAGTAGCTCAGGAAAGCACCCCAGGGCAGGTGCTGCTATGGTTGAGGGGCTCACCTCACTATGGTGTTGGAACCCCCTTTGTGGTAGTAGAGAGAGTTGTTGTGAACAGCATGCCCACAGCCGTGGAAATAATACGGGAGGTGGATGAACGTGTAACTGCCATTCAGAAGTGAGGGCTGGTCTTTGAATTCCTTCACCATGATGCCTGTGGGAGGAAAGCCAGAGAAAGGCTGTTACCTGCTGTCCGGCAATCACAGCTTGGGAGTGCTGCCTAAAATAGAGAGCAATCTATTAAACCAACTAGCAGGGATTTCAGACACACAAAAGTAGAATAAGCCCGAAGGTAGGCAACAGATGAAAAATGCAATTACTACATAGATAGGGATCATCTGCCGAATGGAAATACCTGAAAAATGTTCAGTCACCCAAATACGGTCATCACTCTTGTTAGCAGATTCTCTTATCCAAGTCCCGAATGTCTCTGTAACTTTTAATACTTGCGTTGGGTTTCCAATGGAAGTGATCATGGATTCTGCCCAAAGAAGAGAATGGAAAGTTACTCACCTGCCAGTTGTGACTTGAAGGCATCCAACATCTGAATTTCAAAACAGGATGCTTTGTTTCCATACCTGCTTGTGGGGAACGGTGCTCATTGACTTTCTCATCAGCTTTCCCAACCAAGGTATCATCATTTGGTATGGCACATGTCTCACCTAAAATGACAACAATAATCAGAGCAAGGCCCCTGGTGCAGTGCGATTTGTATAACTGCTGCCTTTCCCACCTCATTCCAGACCCAAAAGCATCTCTTGCAACAGGCCCGCTGCTTTTCTTGGTTGCTTACTTTTAAGCACCCCAAGCAATGTGCTTCCAAATTGTCTCCCTCTGCTTGGTGAATTCCCAACAAACTTTCCATGACCACAGTTGCTAAGATGATACAATCCCGAGAGGATGTCAGGAAAAGGGGACAAGTGGGCTGCACCAATCCGTTCAAGCCCTCAGCAATTTGGGGGAAAGGAGGCTTGTTGACAGTTCCCTGGCCTCTTTGTCAGGTGATATCTCTAGCATGACTGCATTGTTCTAGAAGGATTTTCACTCTCAGGGAAGCTGGTGGGGTGCTGTGAAGAAGTCTCAGAGGTGGGGTGGTCCACTTTACCCAGTGTCTCCTGGGAGAGGCAACGGGAGAGTAATCACAGCGCCTCAGAGGAAGAGGAACCTAGAGGCAGCGTCCCCAGAGACGCTGGAGTCCCCATGTGACCATTTTCCCACCGTCTCTGCTTGAAAGCCTGCAGGGGCATAGGTCCTTGCCAGGTGCCTGATTCACGGTTGGTTTGAGGCTACACCTGAGCTGTGACTCATCCTCCTTGGCTTGTCAACGTTCCCCTTAATGAATGGGCTTCATTCAGACCTTGGTGAAGAGGTTCTTGGGGTAGCAGAAGCAAGGACGAGCTGGCCAGTGGGCAGAGGACGCGCTGTGGGCTGGACTGCAGGGGGGGCAAGGTGGGCTTTCTGGGGAAGGCCAGGCCCACCCACCTGGACAAATTCTGAGGGGTTCAAATCGCCCTGTGGTTATCAGAAAGGGCAGCCTCTCCATTGTCAGCAGGGAAGCTCACAGAGTAATCTGAAGGGGTTTCTTTGTCAGTAAGTGAAGGGGGCCAGACCCTACATGACTCCAAGCTTCTTCCCAGCAGGATGGGCCTGTGTTCTCTGAAGTCCTCCGCCACTGGAGGAGAGCAGTCTCAGGGGTCCGTTACAGCTCCCCCACATGCAGTCCTGCTACCTCTGGGTTTCATCTGGAGTTTCCACTCAGGAAATTAAAGGGTGTTAAGGAAATGGGATTGGAGCAGGAGAGAGGGCCAAGTTCAGATGCAAATGCCTGGCAACCACGGACTCATTTCCAGCAGGCAGAGTGAAGATAATGGCCTCTCATTTAAAGCAGTTTTCACAAGCTCGGGTCCAACCCCTGCCGACCCGGCCTCTTAGAAGCCAGGCCCAGCAGAGCAGACTGCTTCTCCAGGCACAGACTGTCACCGGCCGACAGAGCCTTTGGCAAATTAGAATCCTGCAAAAGCTCAGGTCAGACCCCTTCTCTCAGGGGAAGGCCCCGCTCGGCTCATCGTTCTCCGAGGGAACTGAACGGAGGGCTGGTGCTGACGGACGGGGTGGCGCTGAGCGCAGCGAAGGAGCAGCTCTGCCAGCGTGATCATCAGGCTCCATTGACTGGGGGGAGGATGGTGACAGATTTCAAAGCACAGATCCGCCCACTCTGCCAGGGGAGTGCTTGCCCCCCAGATGTCTTCCAGAAAGAACAGTGCGCCACACAGAACTAAAGACTGTTTAGGAAAGCGGCAGTAACATCCGCAAGTCTGAGAGCAATTCCAGTCAGGGTCCTCCTCTCCGCTTGCCGAGGAGGCGATGGCAGCAAGTTGTGCCTCCTCGAGGTTTAAGTTAGGTGATGGGTCCCAGGTTGCCTCTTTTGGGAAGAAGTTCTAGCATCACCCTATGAGTATTTCCCATTAATGTGATCCTTGATTTCTAAGCAGCTTTCAACCCTGCAGCCACTCCTGCCACACGCTGGCGAAAGAACAAGTCCTCTTGGCCCGCCAGAGATCAGTCAGTCCTTGCCCTTGGCTGGCTTGGGTCAGGTCTCAAAGTGCAAATTTCCATCTCTGAAAGGTCGACGCTCTAAGACCTGGGGCTTTACAGTCAGGCACACCTAGGTTCAAATCCTGGCTCTGCCACTTACTAATCGAGTGAACTTGGGAAAGTTACTTAGCTCCTTGGGGTGTCAGTTTTGTATCTGTTAAGTGGGAGACGATGATTCCAATACCGTAGAATTGTTCTGAGAATGAAATGGACTAAGCATGTAGCACGGAGTCTGGCACTTAAAAATTAGTGGTGGTGTCAGTAGCGCTGTAGTTACCGTCTGTGAGGAGCTAACCGATCTGAACTTCCTCACCAGCTCCCCACTGTCAGCCAAGGTCCTCACTCTCCAAAGAGTGTCACTGTGAAAAGTTAACAGCTGCGCTTTCAGGACTGTGTCAGGGGAGAGGGATGGCGGATGAGGCCAGGTGGAGGAACAGTCGTGATAAATGAAGGGACGAGGGGAGGGGTGGGAGGCCCAGTGGAACCCGCTCCAGTGCCCAGCCCTGGGGCAGACTGCTCAGACCTCCCACGAGCATGGTGCAAGGCGGGGACCCTCATTTTGAACTAAATTGCTTCTTTGTGTTTTGAAACATCTGGTCTCAAAGCCTGGGGTGCAGCCCAAGAGTTTGGGGTCATCAGTGGAAGAGGAGGGTCCTGGGTGGGGGTTGGCAACCTGAGCACTGGCCGTTGAACATGTTCGGCTGCCGAGGGCCTTTGGCTCTTCTGCCTCCAGGGGGCCCTGGAGGACCTGGGGGGCCTGGGGGCCCAGGTGGGCCAGGTGGGCCTTGGTCTCCTTTGGCACCTGGAGAGAGAGGGGGGGAGAGAGGGTGGGAGAAGAGGGAGAAGGGGAGGGAGAGAGGTTGTGCTTTCTGTCAGTTGTCCTCCCGGGTGTCTCAAGTTGCTTGCTTACTAGTCTTGTTGGGGCCTGTGCTGGATTTCAATGGATATTTGGAAAAGGAGGCTTCCTTCATCCCATCCAATCCAACCATGGCTTTTAGACCTGAGTTATGGAAATGACTTATGCTTAGATCCCAGATCTGGTCTTGCCCATGTGGAACAATCCACAAGTTTCTCCTTTTTGTCAGCACAGAACTCCAAAGCGTGCTGCAAACACACGGCCACACGGGCCGGTAAGGAGAGAAGACACAGAGCAGCCCTTGTACTGAACACCAGGTGGTTCTTGGGGTCCACGTGTCCCCGAAGAGAGCCCCTCTCACCTGCCAGCAGCACGTCGTTGGAAACATCTCCTTTGTCTCCCTTTTCCCCCTTCTGCCCCGGAGGGCCCTCGTTTCCCGGTGAGCCCAGTTCGCCGTGGTCTCCCTTTTCTCCCTTTTCCCCTGGATTTCCTGTGGCTCCCGGTAGCCCTGACAAAAAGAATGACATGTTAGCCTGCTGTGCAAGAAATTCTGGCACAGCATTTTATAATACTGTACATTGTTCTTCACAAACCAAACATAACCCCCCGTAACCATTTTAGGGTAGCAGCACGGCCGTAAACTCATTAAAGAATAGTATTCCCATGGGGCTCTGCTGGACTATGTGCAGACACATTTGGCCAGGCCAACAGGTTGGAGAGAAGAGTGAACCACACCACAGTGACAGCAGAAAGAAGGTAAGGAAGGCCTAAGTAGCAGTCTGGCACCGTGACACTCAGAGGGGGTGGGTTGGTGCTATAACAATGGGTGTCACCTACGCTATTTAGTTTATTCCTCACAACATACTGGAGTTGTAGGCTGGGCAGTTAGTTATCCTTGCCCTTATTTTATAGAAGTTGAAACTAAGGCCTATTGGGTTATAACAGATGTCGCTAAGTGAGCAGCAAAGGATGTCTGATTCCATCTCTGACGCTCTTTTCTGTGACATTCCAATGCAAAATGCTTTTAATCACGATAGTAAAACAGGTAAAGTTCCCTTAGGATAAGCATTAATAGGGATGGTGTAAGTGTGAACAAAAGGTAGTGGGTGCAATTTCTGTTTTTGTTCATGGGGAACTGTCATCCTTGGCCACACGGCTAGAAATCAGTCAAGGTCTAAGCAACAGCTTGTGTCAGCCTTGGACCAGGGGTAGCGCAGGGACCCTTGGTTTGTTCTAGCTCACTGCTGGGAGGTAGTTCCCAGCAGCACAGGGAGGGGGAACCTGAACAGAGCCTTCTCTCTGATGAAAATCAGAGTTTGGGAGATGGAGGTGGCTAGAATTTGCAAGACGGAACAGCGGAGGAGAGCAGTGGAGAAAGCGCCCTGCCCATCCACAGAGGGCTCCCTGAAGTCTGCGGCTGAGTAATGACCTGCACAGGGGAACTCCACAGGGCCAGGAAAGGAATTCACAGTTCACTAAAAAATGGTCGGAGCTCACACCGTGAAAAGTTCTCATTCCCACCAGTCAATGTGGAGAGATCTCATAAAATAAGGAGTATTTGATAGAGCCCTTGGAAAAGTCTTGTCTTTAGCCCCAGGGTAGAGGCTGCTGGGGACACATCATTACAAAGCTTAAAAACAAACTTCATTCAGCAAGAGCAAACTCATCTGCAAGTCATTTAACTGCCTGCCAGAAGAGAGTCCAAAATTCAAATCATTCAGTTAATGTAATTCAGCATGTTCACAATTTAAACAAGAAAAATCATATGATCATCTCGATGGATGTAGAAAAGGCATTTGATAACATTGAGCACCCATGCTTAATACAAATTCTCATCAAACTAGGAATAGAAGGGAACTTCTTCAATCTGAAAAAAGGGCATCTAAGAAAAACCTACAGCTAACATCATCCTTAACAGTGAAATACTAAATGCTTTCCCCTAATATCAGGAACAAGACAAGGGTATGACCTCACTTTATTTAACATTCTACTGGAGGTCCTAGCCAGTGTAGTAAGGCAAGGAAAAAGAAAAGGCATACAGTTTGGAAAGGGTGAATTAAAACGTCTTTACTTGCGGACGACATGATTGATTGTTTATGTAGAAAAGCTTAAGGAATCTATTAAAAAGCTACTAGAACTCACGAGTATACAGTTTTAATGGGTCCCTGAGGGGGGAAGTGATTGCTTTAATATTGTACGAAGATATTGCCAGATATGGATCAATTAACATGATACCCTGCCTCAGGGAATAGTTGCTTATTTTGATAACAGCCCCCTGGGAGAAACTGCTCAAATTTCTCTGTTGGCGGAGATTTCAGTGATGGGGAGGTCGTCACATCACAACATAGCACTGTTCATATTCAAATTCTCTGTGCTGCCATGAGCCCATTATTCCCTAAAACATAATTCTGGAGCTCTGGGCACCTTTCATTTACCCCAGAGGAGTAATCAATATTCAAAATGGTTTCTGTTCTTCCATATTCAAGGGACCGTCCACAGACCATCCCAAGCAAGACAGTGGTGCATGCAAGAATCTCAAAGTGTTGATTATTGTTAGAAAGTGTAGTGAACAAAGAAACATTTGCTAGATTTCAGCCAATATTAAAAAAAAACAAAACAACTTAGTGAAAACCATGAAATTCAGCTAGAGCTGGGAGTCAGAAGCCCCAGGGTCCTCGGGGTGCCGGCAGTGCTGGGGTTACGGCCACCCTGACAGAGGAGCTGGGGGACTCGGTGGAAGAGGATGTGGGGGGCTCCAATGTCAGCACCTGCTCTGCTGTGGATTCAGTAATACGGGGTCAAATCATGCCTTGTAGGGGGCCCGGGCTCATAATGCATCCCTCACAATAGCACTGAAAACCGGGTGCTCCGGGCTATCCCTGCCCCTCACCGGGACATCTGGCTGGAAAGTGGTTGGCTCACTTGAGAAGAGGCCTTCTGTGGGGCCCTGCGCACGGGAAGACATTCTTTTGTCAGTGTTTTAAATAGGCAATTTAGCACATTATCTGAAGGAGACAAAAGATGAGAACGTTGCCATAGAGTCTAGCCAGTACAATGCACCAAGTGTAACTGGTACCTCGGAAAGGTCTCGTGGGACCCAGATTTAGCAGTGCTCAGGGAAATGCTATCTGCCCCTTACTGCGGGGTTTTCTTTTTCAGGCATTTATTCTAGTTGCAGAAAAAAAAAAAAAAGCCTTCTGCATCATCATCTGATGCCCCTTTTCCTTTCTTTTATTCCTTTCTCTGATGCCTTTTTTCCCCTCAAAACAGCTATATGTGAAATAGGAAAATGTTCCTCCAGCCATTCAGCTGTCGTGATGCAGCCCCCGCATGGCAGGTATTTAAAGCTATTAAAGGCCTTTGTTTGAGGATGTGTTTTGACTCTTCGCCGGGGTGTGCATTACCATTTTTCAGCTTTCATTAAGAAAGGGTGGGGGCGTTTTGACAACGGTGATGGCTGGCAAAGGGCGAAGGTAGACTGGATGTAGACAAAACACCCCCATCCTTTCTTCACGAAGCATCTCCTCGTCTTCGTAGGTAACATCACCGTGGCCATGCACTGGCCGTGGTATGTCGTATGTCGGAACTAAAACACCACCTAATTGTAATTCACCGTCAGAGGACCTATGCATGGCGTTTCTTACCCTGCCCTGATTCAGGGAAGGTCAGGGTTGCTAGCCGTGCACAGTGACACTGTGACACTAGGGGATCTGGACCCTGGCGTTGTTTGTCCCGTGACCCCTGGCTGGCTTCGAGTCAGCACATTCTGCAGAGAAGAAATGCCAGATTCTGCCCACCGAACTCGTGCGCTAGAAGTGGCTGTCTGCTATTTTTCTTCCCTGGCATCGCCCACTCAAAACAAACAGTTTCGCTAGCATTACAGTTTGGGGTCGTGTGCTATCTCTGGGCTGGGGTCAGCTCCATCATCTTCGCCACAGGGGGTGAGGGAGGACGCTTTATTTTCGGCAGTACCATCTGCTGCTGAGGCGGGGGAAAAGGGGCCAGGGGGTGTCACACAAAACCCAGTCCCGAGACACTAATAACGAGGAGGGCTTTTATTCCTGTTTTTCATGAGGATTTGGTTTTTAGAGAAGACACTGCAGCATTAACTCTTAAGTGAGAAAATGAGAGACAGATGGAAAGAAAGAAAATGCTTGATTTTGAGGCAACAGAATGTCCTATTTCATAGAAGATGCTAGTTGCACAATTGACAACATTTAAGTCTCATTCTTTTTTTTGGCGGGGGGGGAATCTCCCTGCCCCAGGACCTTGTAAGGCAGATTAAGTCTCTTTTGGTTTCAACTCTTCTCTCCAAATCTAAGTCAGTGTTTTCAAACAAAGACAGGACATTTCCACTTAGGTTTCCTTTTGGTCTAAAATAAAATTTCCCCTTCCCCATTTTTGAGAGCAACAATAACAGCTAACACCAATATAGCACTTACTATGTGTTGAGCCTTATCCTAAGCACTTTCTATATATTAACTTGTTTAATCTTCCCAATAACACTATGAGGTTGATACTGTTAATATTATTGTCCTTATTTTGTAAATAAGAAAACTGTTGCACAGAGTGATTAAGGAACTTGTCCAAGGGTGCACAGCTAGTAAGTGGCAGAGCCAGGACCCAGACGAAGCCATCTGGCTCCATGCTATTCCCCACCATTAACCTTAGTATTTGTAAGGTCAGAAACTGAGAATCTTTGATACTTCAGTCTCCTGGAAACAACAGTTAGGCGAGAGATCTTAAGCTCTGGCTTTATCAGGTTAGTCTTTTGCTCAGGAGCCCATAGTGGTTCCTGGTCGCCTCCTGCATATGTGGAGCTGAAACCCCTGGCCCGACTTCGAATGCCATTAGCCCATCTAGCCCCACCTAGCCGGGATCCCCCCTAGTCCCCCGGGGTGGCCTCATAACTCGTGAGCCTTCTCTCCCTGCAATGCCTGCCCCACGTCCCCTCTACTTATTTCCAAGATGTTGATCTCCCCTCTGTTGCTTGTCCTTTACACTTAGCCCTTTCGCACAATCCATCTTCCATGCACGGTCCCGCTTGTTCATCACCTGCACAGGGCAGTTTAGTTTTTGCTTCTGGCAGTATCGCCAGCTGTGAGGTATAAAACAGTCTCCCAACAAGAATAGTTACTGGGTACATGCTGAGTGTAAGGTCTATCTTCTCTTTCAACTGAACTGTACCCCCTTGTAGACAGACACTAGTGCTATTCTTCTCACTCACGCATTCATTCATTCATGCATGCATCTATTTATTCATTCCTTTTTTTTTTTTTTTTGAGACAGAGTCTCACTCTTTTGCCCGGGCTAGAGTGCCATGGCATCAGCCTAGCTCACAGCAACCTCAAACTCCTGGGCTCAAGCGATCCTCCTGCCTCAGCCTCCCGAGTAGCTGGGACTACAGGCATGCGCCACCATGCCCGGCTAATTTTTTTCTTTCTATTTTTTAGTAGAGACGGGGTATTGTTCTTGCTCAGGCTGGTCTTGAACTCCTGACCTTGAGCGATCCACCCGCCTCGGCCTCCCAGAGTGCTAGGATTTATTCATTCATTCCTTATTCATCAATTATTTATTGAGCCTTAGCCGGGTCCTGGCTAAGAGCTGTGATGAATCATAAAATCTGTAAAACGTAGTCCCTGCCTTGATACACAAACATTCTAGTGGAGTATTTCAGACTAGAAACCATGTTAGAGTTGTTGCAACCCAACCTCCTCAGTCTATACGGGGAGGTCAGTCAGGGATTGAGGCAGGTGTTCTGCCTTGAAAGCAGGGAACAAGAGGCACAAAATCAACTCTGTCTTTGTTACCTACTGAACTGTGTGTTCTTGCAAATGTCCTGCAGGCTTCTCTGAAAGGCTGGAGCCCTCCCAACTCTCCCAGGGAGACCCAGCTTTGGAGCTCAGCGTGGAGGGTTACCTGAAGTCCATGACCTGCGACAATTACCTGCACCGGCTCTGGAGGCCCAGGTTCCCCTCCTGTTAGCTCTTGCTCTTCGGCACCTGCGACAGGCCCGTTCTCACAACTCCGGCCCGAGCCCCTCGAGCACGGAAGCTGAGTGTCATTGTGGTTAAGAGCAGGGCTCCAGGAGTCAGAGAGACCGGATTCAAGTCCTGCCTCCTCCACTTTATTAGCTTTTGACATTAGACACGTTATGTCCATTCATTTGACAACGAATTTGCTGTGCTCCTTCGCTGGGCGTTCCAGGCACTGGAGCTAGAGACTAAGCAAGACAGACCTGGCCTGGCTCTCAGACCCCACCTCCCACCCAGGGAGTCAGACCATCAACACGCCAGGGAATGAGCACCATGAGGTGACTTCAGGGAGGGACGGACATTTGGAAAGAGAGCAGGGTAACAGGGTAGGCGAGGCAGGGGCTGACACGGAGGCTGTGGAGACGACATCTGAGCTGAGACCTGCACCGGGGGAAGGACCAGCCAAGGGAAGGGCAGGGAGAGGGCATTGTGGGGAGTAGCACAGCAGTGCAAAGGCCCTGGGGCAAGAGTGGCCTCTGCCTGTTTGAGAAACAGAACAATAAGTTTCTTCCTTTGGAAAAAATACGGCCAATAACAATATCCATCCCTGAGGGGTTGCTGTGAGGACGCAATGAGCTAAGTACACAGAGCGCTTAGTCCAGTGCCTGGGGGTAAATGTTAGCTGTTTATTATTGTTTAGAAGATTGTTGAGACGGGGCACATCCCACCCTCACCGAGTCCCTATCTCTGTGGAACACGGTCCCTTTTTCCTTTTTTTGGAAACGGGACTTGTTGTCCCTTCTTTCCGGAATGCACACCCACACCTCCCCTCCCCGATCCCGCCTGGCCAACCACTAATGATCCTTGAACTCTTGGCTTAAATAATGGCGTTTCCTCCTCCGTAGTCTTGACCTGGCCTGGCAGGCCATGTCCCTGCGTGAGACCCTGCAGTGCCTTCCTGGAGCTGGCTGCCCACCTGAGGGCTCCGGAAGGGCCTGGCCCTGCCTCTGGCTTCGCCTGGCCGCGTGGCCCACGGCTTGCCCATGTGAGCCCTGCCTCCCCCTGGCCGCCCCTCCCAGTTCCATCCACTTCCCCACCCCCCTTCCTGTTCCTGTACCTCATGGCACCCTGTCCTTTTCCTTCGAGCACACATCTCATGTTGAGACTGTAGATGTACGTGATTGTTGGCTATTAACACTGGCCTTGCCACCGAAGATGGAAAGTGCCAGAATAGGGGCTGCATCTATTGCTTCCCCACTAGCACTAGAAACCTGCTCCATAAGTATTTGTCGATGAATGTCCCCACCCTCTCCTGGCCGTCCTCCCACTGCTCGGTCCCCTCCTCGCCCCCTTCTACCTGGTCCCTAGATGCTGCAGCACCTCAGGGCTGTGCCCAGCCCCTCCTGAGTGACCATGCCCATGCCACATGCCCCTTTGCTCCCAGGCAGGCCTCTAGCCCTGAGGTGCCCCGTGTCTTCTCCTGGATGTCTCAAGGCACATTCCACACCGAGCCGCGACTGTCTCCCTAAACCTGAGTCGGTGCAGGGCTCCCCCCCACCTCAGGGGAGCGGCTCATCCGTCTATGCCTCGGGCAGGACAGGAAGCTGAGTCAGCGTTGGTACCATCCCGCCCCTCACCCCTTCCGTCTGCCCTCCACCAGCACTGATGGTCTCCCCCAAACACCACTCAGCTCCACCCGCCACCTTCCCTTCAGCCGGCTCCGCTCCCTGCTCCAGCTCCCCGCGCTGGCTCCATGGCGTCCAGGGTGAAGCCCAGCTCCCCTCTGCAGCCCCGCTCACCCTGGTCCCCCCCTGCCTGCAAGTGCCCAGTAGGAAGAGAATTGTCTTCGGGCTCAGGCTCACTTCCCCTGGCCTGGGACGAGAACCCCCTGCGGGGGCCCTCTGTGACTCACCCTCCATCCTCAGTATCAGTCTAGGTTCTGACCCCGGGAGGCCTTCCTCACCGGGAGATGGCTGCAGAGGAGGGTCTGGGTCTTTGCTGCAGTTCCCATGGGATCTCCTGGAAACCGTGGACCAAGGCTGCCCTTCGTGATGAACAGAATCCAGCAACTTCTCCCCGCTCTGCTGCTGGCCCCCGCTCCAAGCCTCCTCCCTTAGCACAGTGGCCAGGCCACCGTCTCCCCGACACGACGCATTGGGCATGGCTCCGCTGTGCTTCAAACCCCCCATGTGGCTCCACGTACAGACTGCTGTTCTTAACATGTCCAGGGCCGACTTGATTTGGCCTGGTTGTCTCTCTCAAGTCGACCACCTTAACCGCCATCCTCTGTCCAGCCGCCGCGGCCCCTTTGCTGTGCCTCTAATTCTCCAGGTAGCCTAGACGCACGTGCTCCGCCCGCAGGCACCCCATGACTCCCTCTCTCACCTCCCCCAGATACTTGCTCGAAAGTCCCTTCTCAGGAAGGTGTTACCTGGGCTCCCGATCTAAAATTACTGCCCCGGCTCTCTCATGTATTTCCTATCCCCTCTCTGTACTGATCTTTCTCCTTAGTGCTTATCACCACGAAACAGACCACGTCGTCTATTTATTCGTCTTACTTACCTGTCTCCCCCAACTAGAAGGGGAGCTCACAAAGGCAGGGGCTTTGTTGGCCTTTTCATATCTAGATCTCCAGTGCTAGAACAGTGCCCGCCACATAGACCTGTGTCCCATAAACGCATGAACTTCTGCTTTGCTGTGTCCCCCGGGTTGTAGGCTGCGTGCTAAGCACCTCTCAAGCCTTTTCGAAAACTGCTCCTTTCCTACCTGCCCCTTCCCCCCTAGTCTGCCCTCATCATACTCATTGCTGAATCCTCAGGACTGGATCACATTTTTGGAGTCTTCCCAGGATAAGCCAATGTCTGCACACTGACAGTCATCATTATGCTATGCCAATGCTCATTTATAATTATAATTATTATCCTACACGAACGATCCATTACTGCCCCGTCATTCCAGCTGTAATTGCTGGCTTTCTGAGAACCGAGCTGGCATGGACTGTGTGTGCCCATTTTTGCCAAGGCTGTCCCCTGCCCCATGAGCAGGTAGGCCTTGCCAAGTGGCAGAGGTGCTCAATGATTTTCTCCCTGTCCACTGGCCCTCACTTAAATTGCTCATGAGAATAAGAGCAGAGATGATAGGATAACTGCTGTCTGGAAGAATGTTCTAGTATGTGTTCTAGCCTACAGCCTGCCCAGGTGAGTTTGGGTACCAGAGTCAAGAGGTTGAACATAAGAAGGCGTGGAGGAGTCTCCAGCTAAAGACAACCTCTTCTCACCCAAGACGGTGGCCTTGACAGGTGGCCAACAGCCAGGCCTTCCCAGAGGCCTCCTGAGTATCTCACCCCTGCACAAGAGTCCCTCCATGCCACGTGCTGGCTTTCTTCAGGTGAGTCTACCCTATCCCATGCCACAGCTGCCCAGGATTGGTGCCCAGAGCCCTTCAGAATCTGCCCTCCCTGTCCCCCAGCCTCCTGCTGTCCCCCAGCCTCCACCAGCCTCTGCTTCTCACTGCTCCCTGGATGCATCCGACAGCCTGTTGCTTCTGGGCCTTTGCTCAGGTGGTGGCAAGGCCTCTGCTCACAGCAGGGCAGAGGAAGTCTCTGTGAGATGCCAGCCACGTCTTTGTGATCATCCTGTGACCCTTGAGTGCCAGCCTCTGGGGGGCCTGGAGGCTGCCTTTCCACTCCCACAGTTCAAGCTATTCCTCTAGCCATCGAGTCAGAAAAAACCTCACCAGGGGCCAACATCAGCCTATTGATTTTCACCAAACACGGACTTTCTGGACAGCAGGAGGCAGTAGAGGGCAAGGCAGGGGCTGGGCCTCTGCAGAGCACGGGTGGTAGCACCTCTGGGTCCCACAGCCCATGGAGTGCCCTCCCTCCTGCCTGCCGGCTCCTGCCCCTTCCACCTCCCTGCATCAGAGCAAGCATAGGGCGGTGGCAGCTCCCACGGAGACAGCTTCTCTGGTTTGAAATGAACATTCATCAAGGTTGGACCAAAAAGAATGCCCTTGGCATCCCAGAACACAACAGCTTCCAGGTAAGAGTTAAACCAGCCCTTCCTGCAGAGATGAAACACCTCACTCTGCTGCACACAGCTTTAGCCCATCCAAATGCAATCGTGGAGATGAGCAACACGGAAAGTAATTAGAAGAGTTGCCAAAATACCCATTTTTCCTCTTTTTCCATTTGCTCCTTTTTCGCCTTTTGGGCCCTGGGGACCAGGTTGTCCATCTGATCCATTGTGTCCTGGTGACCCACCAATTCCTGGTGGTCCTGCAGCAAAACACAGAAACAGGAACAGTTTTAAAGATCTTCACTGAAGTTACTGTGATTTCCTTTGGCCAGTGCAACTGAGCAGGCATCAGTGCCTTTCCCACACCCTCCCCCACCTCCTCCCTTCCTTCTCGGTCTGGAGCAGCGCCAGCTGGGGGGATGCTGACGGCAGGTCTGCACGTGAGAGGGGCAAGGAAGGAGAGGGACACAGCCAGGGCTGCCTCCAGGCTCCACCCCTCCCCACCTCTGTCCCTTCCCAGGGATCCTGAGGATCCACCCACAGCCTCCCTTTGAACTAGAAAAGCCCATGGGCTCTTACCTGGTGGGCCAGGTGGTCCTACAACAGAAAAAGAAATTTAGATGATAAATCATGGGTGAAAGAGAAGAACCAGCACCACAACCCAAAAAAATAAAGAGCACTCTCCCCTCCCCCCCGGAAAATGTCCTAATCATCTACTGACCTAAGGCACTGATCTCACACCTTTTATTTAGAACTCATTATATTTTCCCCAAAAGATCCTTAAAAACAAGTCAACAAAGACCTATTTGCCAGTCAAATCACTTTTGTTTAAGTTTCAATGGACCAAGAATAATTTCTGAGCTGGCTTCACGATGGATTCATAAATCGGTTATCTCTCAAGCAGTCAACCTGATTAACGGAGGACCAGAAACAACGCAGGTGGGCACTAGTGCAGCCCTGGCACAAGGTGTCAGCACAGGGTGGTGCTGTCACGAGAGCGGCCCTTGTTCTGGGGGCGCTGGGAGCAGGAGCGAGCTGGCTGGATCTCTGTTTTGCCGCATAAAATAGCCTGAGAAAAATTGAGGGCCCAGATCAGGTAACAAATACCTTCCTTAGTATGTAATTACCTGAGGATCTAAGGGGTTCGGACAAATCATTTATACATAACTGAGCAAAATGATTTTGCTTCCACAAATGGGAGTGTCTTATTGTCAACTATTCTCCTTGGACACTCAGATAAGCTAATGAGGTTGTAACATGAGCAGCTGAGTTCCTTTTCTTTCTCTGGACCATGTATAATGATTACCAGTGCTGGAATGGAAAGGTCTTTCTGTAAATCCAAGCCTGTGACCCTTCAGAAAACCAGCATTTACTAAGCACTTACTGTGTACGCCAAACTCTACCAAGACTCCCTATGTCTGCTGTGTTCACAGTCTCTGTGGGGAAGGGGGACTCTCTGAAACTGCAGTGCCATGTGGGAGAGCTGCAGCAGGTCCCGGGGAAGTGAGAAGGCTGCCCAAGGGGAGCCAGGGCACTGACTAAATGACAGGCCCAAGATGGCAGCAGATGAGGGCCAGCATTCTGTGCAGGGGCAGAGGAGCAAAGGTGCACAGGGGAGGGCTTGCAAGGTCCAGGGTGGGGGAAGGAAGAGGACTGGCCAAGCTAGAGTGTGTAGAGATGAAGCTGAATAGGGATTTGGGTGGGGTGGGCAACAGAAGAACTTGAATGCCAAGCCAAGAGGTGTAGACCGTATCTGTGAGCAGCAGGGAGCTACAGTAGGTTCTTAAGCAGGGGGCTGATGCTGTGAAATCAGCCTGCGTTTGAGATCTTCTTTGTAGCTGGAAGTTGAATGGAACTTGGTGGAATAAGATGAGACAGAGACACACACACACCGGGAGAGAGAAGCAGAGAGATGGGAGGAGTAACAGAGAAAATGCCCAGAGGGTCTTTATAAGTTAAAATCAGTGACAAGGTTGTGGATAAATGTGGTGACTGTAGAGTTGTAGAGAAAGCTGGAAATTCCGCAGGTATTTCAGCAGGATGAGCAAGACTCCATGTCCGATGGGCAGGAGGCAAAGGAGGACGCAGGTCCATAGTACCAGTGGATGGAGGCTATTTTGACAGACGTGGGGACTCTTGGAAGGACAGGTGCTTGGGGGTGTGCTTGCAGTACATACAGTCCGACTTTAGGCAAAAATGATTTGCCGAAAATGGATTTGCACTCTCTTAGGGTGAGTGTAGCCTGTGGCTGTAGGACTTTACCACCAGATGGTGCACATGTCTTGGAAAGGGGGTGATGGACAGTTAACAGAGGTCAGAGGAAATCAGCCATCATTCCCAAGTACAAATGGAGTCAAGTTTAGTTGTGTAGATTGATAGAAAGACAATTTGCCTGTGAGATGTTAGATTTGGCTGTATATAGTAGGTTTCAAGAGTTCCCAGGATAGTGCAATGACTACGTCCATGCAGCAGGACTACTGGTGAGAGCTCTCGGCTAAAGCTGTGTATTTAGGACACACCAGCCATGGCCAAGGGTCTCACCATGGTGACACGTTTAGATTAGGGTTTCCTGAAAGAGCTCCATTGACACCCTATGGCTAGAATTCCCAGCATATGAACCCACAGAATCACCAGCAATGCTTGTTAAAAGCAGATACCTGGGCCCCATCTGGCGATTCTAATTCAGTTTGGATTTAAAGTGAGGCCCAGGGACCTGCATTTTCACCAAGCACCACAGGCAACTGGGATGCAGATGGTCACCAGCCCTCTGCTGTGATGTGAAATCTTCTGGGGAAATAATCAGTCACCATCAGCAGATCCTTGAAGGGGTTCTTGGCTCTAAAAAGGTTCAAGGCTACTAGTCTCATGGCAAGAGTAAGAAGACTGGGCCAGGCTCTGGGGGTGGAGGAGGAAGGAGGAAGGAGGAAGGTAACACCCTGTCTGGAGGAAGGCCCGTGAGAAGAGGCAGCAGGAAGGAGAGAGTAGTCAGGAGACACACGGGAGAGGAAACCCAGCAGGTGTACTGTCCTGAGGCTAAAGGAAAAGAGAGTTTCAGAAGAGAAGGGATGACAGCCCCAAGAAGCTCAGAAATCAGCACAACATAAAACGACCTGAGGCGCAGAGAGCTACAGTGATGGTGGGATGTCCTGGTGTCCCCGCTCTGCATGACAGCTGGCTCTCAAGGGCCCCGACATCTCAAATCTCACGATGTGTGCCAGCCGGGCATTTAGAAAGCCGTTGTTCAGGATGTTTCCTTGGCTCCTGCTCTTCCCCCCCTTCTTCAGTACCAGGCCCGCAAGGAACACATGTTGACATCCGCGTTCGTGCTGATGGTGTGCTCAGGGCTGGTGTCCAGGGCCTGCCACCAGTGAGGGTGCACAGGGCTCCACTTCAGAAGGGGGCTCCATGCTTGGGTTTAATGCCCTGCAGTCACCGTCTAGAAATTCTTAATACTCTTATCTTCGGATCCATGTTTTGTAAGTGAAGTCCAGTGGGTCAATGGGACATGCACTGAAGGCTTGGCGGTCCTGCCTCCCCAGGACAAGTTACCTGCCACCTGCTCTCTGCCCCATGATGTGTCCTCCACACTCCCTGCCCCGTCAGGCACTGCTGCCACCTTCATCCAGGGAAGCCTGGGTACAGCTGCAGGGAAGGCAGGGCTGGGGTGCCCTGACTGCCTGAATTGCAGGGCGGGGCCCCCTGCTGTCTTGCCCCGTGATTATTCCATGTCTTGGGGGCATGGCATTAAGTAGCAAATAAAAGCTCCCACCGTAACAGGTCAAGACCATGGAAAAAAGAAAAAAGGCTTTTTCCTGCCTTTTTGGACAAGAGACCCTGCATTTTCCTTTTGCACTGGGTCCCGCAAATTCTGTAGCTTGCTCTGACTACACCCACCCCACACTCCTAACCACGATTGATTAGAATTGGGTGGATGCTTGATAGGAGCTGAGCCACTTAGATATTTTTTCTCCTTGAAATCTAAAATTAGTCCCCAGTGCTCCTAGTTTTGTAAACCTGAGATCTGCGGATGGCCAAGTACAGTAAAAACATGTCAGTCTGCAGAGAGAAATGCCAATTCCATTTAGTAGCAGCACACCAGAAAAGAGTGACACGAGGCCACACTCAGCAGCATCTGTGACCCTTTACTGATGTTTGCCTGGGTATAGGACGAGAGAGTAGTGACAAGTGCTATCATGGGGTTAGTGTCCCTTGGCTGCAAGGACAACGGGCACTATGGATTTGAAGCACATCTGCCCCAATGAGCAGTTCAGCAATGTGATGGTTTAGATTTTTCCAACAAGTTCATATGTAGAGGACATAGTAAGTGAAGAATAACCCAAGAACACGCCATCTGTAAGACACTTGCTCGTGCAGAAGGTATGTTTCTGGGGTCCCAAGGAAATCTTGGATCGGGAGTAAGATCCAGAAAAACGTCTGTTGTGCGACAAACTCTGTACTAGCAAACACCTAACTACTCTAGCTAGGGAATTACCCTACTGTTCACCTGAGATGTCACAGGCTACAGAGCATCGGTCCTGATCGCCATAGCAACCGCGGCTGAGTCAAGGACAAGGAACAGGAGCAGGATCTCACGTTCACGGCTGGACTAGCCTCAAGTTATGAGCACCTGCTTTTTCACAGATGACTCCAGTGTGAAGCTGGATCTTGTTCCTGGGCCCCGAGCCCAGGTTCTGACCTGAGGAACCTTCCTGCCAGGCATCCTCTCGGGGCTCTGGGCCAAGGCTCTCTGCTGGCTCCCTGAAGTTGCCCAGTTCAGCCCTTGGTCCCGTCACTCCCTGTCCCGTCCCCTGCCCTCACCCCCAACCCAGGCCTTGTGGTCTACCCCACGGCATCTCCTTGCTTTGCAACTTGTACTTTTCACACGTGATTTTAATTGAAGAACTTTCTGTGTAAAAGGAGACCCAATTTCAAGCTGGCATGAAAGGAGAAGGTGCTGCTGGCTTTTGAAAAGCATTTCGAGGTGCCAAAGAAAAACCTACTCAACCCATTTCCAGCGCGGATGCGATGCCCCGCTCCCCGCCAATCTCCCCTAAGTGGTCTCAATAGCTGCATCCCATGCATTCTCTGCACAGCCTGGCTCTCAGGCCCATCACTATAAAAATCAAAAAGGAAGAGGCTTTTCCTGTGCCTCTCAGCAGGCTTTTGTGCCTGTAATTCCATCCATCCATCTCTCTAGCACTCATTACTGTCACACGTAACTCTGCAAAGGGACTTCCAGAGATGGAAGAAAGATGCTTAAGCCCCAAGAGTTTCAGAATAAAGGACCAAGCTATTCTGAAGATATTTAGTTTTCTGAGAGGGCTGAAATATGACTTGAGTCATTCAATTAGCATTTCCCAAGAAGCCACAGGATTATAGCTTTTCTCTCTGAGGCTAAAATAAGTACAAGAGAGTCAGACTCGGATTTGTGGTTCCCGAGGGAAACTTCTATCTTCCCAGGTCACGACCTCTGTCCACGCACTCACATAAATCACAGGTTTATTCATTCGACAAACTCACTTTGTGCCCTACTCTGTGGCAGGGAATCGGGGGGCTGGGGAGAACACTACAGGATGAGGGCTGGGTTTCTTACAGCCCGATACCTGGTGTGCAGGGTTTCTCAACCCTGTGCCGCCTTAACGGGGCCTGCCTGGGGACACAAGCTGAGAGGCCCAACAAAAGCTTCTGATGGCTTCGAGGTCTTATTTTCATGTTTTAAAGTCCGGGAGCGCTGCTCACACTCCACAATACACAGTCAGCCTTCAGCGTCTGCCGGGTCCCCAATGGCAGATTCAACCAACCGAGGATGGAAAATATTTGGGGA